CTCTAACAACTGCTGTGATCACTCTTTTTGTTCATTTTCTTTCTCCTCCAAACACTGCTGTAGTCTCTTTTCTTGTTTCTTTTCTCGTTCTTCTTGTTTCTTTTCTTTACCCTCTAACAACTGCTGTGATCACTCTTTTTGTTCATTTTCTTTCTTTTCCAACCAATGCCGTAGTATCTTTTCTTCTTTCTTTTCTTTATCCTCCAACAACTGCTGTAATTTCTCTTCTTGTTTCTTTTCTTTTTCCTCTAACAACTGTTGTAATTTCTCTTGTTTATTTTGCTGTTCGAGCTGCTATTGTTGCAGGTTTTCTTGCCTCTGCTGTAATCTCTCTTCTTGTTTTTTTCTCGTTCTTCTTGTTTCTTTTGTTGTTCTTGTATTGTTGCAGGTTTTCTTGCCACTGCTGTAATCTCTCTTCTTGTTTCTTTTGCTGTTCTTGTATTGTTGCCATCAAATCTGCTAAGCTGTAGTGTTATGTCTCTGGTCGTTTGTTAATTTTTTGTAGAAATTCTTTCCGAGAAACTTGAGCGATACAAATCTTTTCTTAAATAAAACTAGTTTATTCTTTTTCAATTCCACTCTGCAATACACTTAATTTCCACAGTGTCTTTAACTTAAATACACACTATAATTCACAACGATTTACCCACTTTACTTACGTTACTACCGCGCTTGACTCAATTGTCCGTCTCTCTCCCTCTCTGTCTGCAATTCAATTCCGATTAATTGTCTCGCTTTATCTGGCGCACTTATATACAAGAACAGAGGGCGCCTAGCAAATAGTGGATTATTTGTGATGTTCCCCGATCCTTCTAGAATATCATGACCGGTTACTAGCGTCACGTGACTTCCGCTGTCGTAACAATACTAAAAAAAGAGGGCGTCTAGCAAAAACTCGGACATTCGCGGGGTTTCCCGATAATTCGGGAAACTCCAGCGCGCATGCTCCCAGCGTCACGCGACTTCCGCTGTCGTAACAGTACTTTACTTATTGTCTGTGTTATTATAAAAAACATCTGATCAAAGCAAGATAACACATATTGTTACGTCTCTGGTCGTTAGTTAATTTTCCGTAAAAATTCTTTCCGAAGAAACTTTAGCGATACAAGTCTTTCTTAAATAAAACTGGTTTATTCTTTCTGAATACAACTTTGCAATACACTTAATTTCCACAGTCACGCTATAACAAATGCTATAATTCACAACGAACGACTCACGTGCTCGACTCGATTGTCAGTCTCTTTCTCTGTCTGCAGTTCAATTACATTGTTACCATCACTTCTTGGCGGTCTTATATACAAGAATACCGTACATTTAGTAAACACTCGAGGCTTCACGAAGGGGCATGATTTTTCTAGAAGTTCTTGACGTGTTACTAGCAACACGTGACTTCCTCTGTCGTAACACTGTCTCTTCCTTAGTATTGTTTGTCCCGAACAATAGCCAATTACATTAAACCAATAAACAATTAACAATAACTTAATTAAATG